AGCACACATCATTCTAATGGCTTCTAATCTTGCTACAGGGGCAAAAGATTCTTTGAAATCTATGCCTTCCTCTTAGTAGTATCCTTGAGCAACAAGACGGGATTTTTCTTATGATTTCTCCTATATCATTTGATTTGTTTTTATATATCCACTTGGTTCCTATGACATTAAAATCAACTGGTTTAGGAAGAAGTTCCCAGACCTTTGCCCTATCAAATTGATTCATCTCCTCATGCATGGACTCTAACCAAAATTCATCTAACATAGCTTCCTCTACGGATTTTGGTTCAATCAAAGAGACAAAGGTAGTGTGATTAGAAGAAGTTTTTGATCAAGTGGTCATACCTTCGTGTAGCTTACCTATTACCAACGAGGGAGGATGCCGTTTGCTAATGTGAGGAGGTGGGTGGAGTTCTTCAGATTTTGGTTCTGCCTCGTCCTTATTTTCATTTCTACTTCCTTTCCTCTATTGGCAGCAGCCTCAGTTTCAGTAAAAATGCTGCTTTTTCCAAGTCCGAAATCATCATTATCTATTTCTTCTGAAATTTCACACACAGACTCGTCAAAGATAACATTTATGGACTCCTCAACTTTAAGTGTCATTTTGTTAAAAACTCTATAGGCTCTACACACACTTGAGTAACCAAGAAACACCGCCTTATCAAACGTGGCATCGAACTTACCCAGATTGTCCTTTGTGTTAAGCACAAAACATTTACAACCAAAAGGGTGGAAGTATCCTAGATTAGGCTTCCTACCTTTCCAAATCTTATATGGAGTCTTCTTAATCCCTGACCTAACAAAAGTATTTAGGAAGACTATAATCATTCAACATGGTTCTAGCTATTTCAATCAAAGTCCTATTTTTTCGTTCCATTACTCTATTCTGTTGCGGAGTCTTAGGTGCAGATAAGTTATGATGGATACCCTGCTCTAAAAAGAAAGAATCAAAACTATCAGAAATGAACTCACCACCGTGATCACTTCTGATCCCAACTATCTTACCTTGTTTCTCGGTTTCTATTTTCTTGGACAGCATTCGAAAATTTTCAAATGCTTCGTCCTTGCTGGACAAGAAAAGAACCCAAGTGAATCGTGAAAAATCATCTACTATAACGAATGCATAGCTCTTAACTCCATAACTCATGACATTAGTAATACCGAATAAGTCTAGGTGAAGAAGCTCGAGTGGTTTAGTAGTTGAAACCACATATTTACTCAAAACTTGACTTAGTGTGTTTTCCTTTGGCACAAGCATCACAGAAAAATTCCTTCTTGCTGTTAATCTAAGGAAGCCCTATAACAAGATCTAGGTTGACTAATTTGGAAAGGACTCCTATATTAACATGGTCGAGTCTCCTATGCCAATCACATTGTTTATTTTTGTTCAAAGAAATTAATCAAAGTTCTCTATACATATACTTATGGTCGAGATCAAACACATTGACCTTACCTTCCCTTTTTCCGGTGAGCATAATTTCTCTTGTCAGTTTGTTTTCTATATAGCACACATTTGTTTCACAAATTATCCTATTACCTAGACTGCAAAGTTGATTTACCAAAATGAGGTTATGTTTTAGATTATCAACTAACATAACATTAGAAATACTAGGACCATATCAAACATGTCCTAACCCTAGGATTTCTGCAGAATTATTGTCACAAAAATAAACTTTACCTCCTTTACTTTCTCTGAATTTGACGAACATATCTCTATTTCCTGTCATATGATGTGAGCATCCGCTGTCGAGGATCCATTTGTTTGTCTTCATGCTCACTTGAAGACAACCTCAGAATGATTGTTGTGAGCATCCTGATCATCAATTGCCATTAAACATGTGTCCTTCTTGTGAGACTGCTCCTAAAATCGTCTTCATCATCCTCGCTACAGCTCCATGTTGTTGTCATCTTCTCTCTTCTCCAAAGTGGACAATCAGCCTTGATGTGACCTTGTCTTCCACACTTAAAGCAGTCTGTCCAATTTTTCTTGACTTGCATATTTTCCCTTTTTATTTTTTGATGCATACGACTTATGCCCTGCTATCCACTTCCTTGTCCCTGTTCCTTTCCTGCATATTTTATCTTTGTATTGATGTGTGAACTGCGAACGTCTTCTTTCTTTTCTCATCCTCATAAGTTGGGAGATATGTTTGCTCAGCATTGCGAGCTCATCATCATCCATGTCTTCATAGTTATCAGAATCTTCTTGAGTCATGAAAGTTATTCCGCGTTTGAGTCATGAAAGTTATTCCGCGTTTGTCTTTCTTTTGATCTTCACCTATTTCCCGTTTGAGCTTTTCTTCATACGTTGTTAGTTATACAATTAACTCATCTACCGGCATCCTGCTCAAGTCTTTGGCTTCCTCAATAACAGTCACTTTAGCTTCCCATTTCTTGGGCAAAGATCACAATAGTTTTCGAACTAGATCACCACTCTCATAAGTAATTCCCATGTTCTCGAGGCTATTTACCGTAGTGGTAAACCTCTCTTACATCTGCCTAATGGTCTCTCCTTCTATCATCTTGAACAACTCAAACTTAGTTTTTAACGAATTGATGCATGAGATTTTAACCTAAGAAGTACCTTCATAGGTTACATAAAGTTTGTCCCAGAATTCTTTCGCAGTCTTGCACCCTGAGACCTTGTGATATTCCTCTGATCCAAGCGCACAATACATGAGGTTGGTGGTCTTACAATTTTGCTGGTGCTTGTCTCGGTCTTCATCCATCCATTTGTTTCGATCAGCCTTCACCTCAAGAGGACCATCGAGAACTCTATCCCAGATCTTTGGATCAGTCGAATCGAGGAAGAGTTCCATGTGGTTCTTCCAGTAGCCGTAATTGACTCCTTCAAATCTTGGTGGCCAATTCTGAGAAAACCCATCTGCGAGATAGAGGATAGTACCATTTCAAGACCCAAACGCCATTTCTTTACCTCCGGAGATGGTAGGACCTTAATCGATGGAGCCGGGATCTGATACCACGTGTTTGTCATCGAGGGCGAGACGTTCTTAGTCCTCTTTTGGATTTGAGGAGCTAATTTGCCAACTCCTGCAGAGATAACAAAACCCTCCCGATGTTGCCAACTCCCTAATTATTGTTGAAGAGCCCAAACCTTTACGTTAAGGAAAGATACACCAAAGCCAAATCACAACAAGTGATGTCGCAAACCTTACTGACCCTTTTACCTCAAAGCACAATGTTTTACCAACTCACCTACAACTTCTCCTCAAGTTATTTTTTGATCAAGCAACCCCTGTAAAACAAAATTCACAAGAATAGCCATGAACAGAGTATAAACCAAATAGCAGTAGAAATAAAGAGAGAACACAGAACACCCAGAATATTTACGTGGTTTCTAGTGTTGAGAGAATAAGGATCTCAACACTGACAATTCCACGGTCTGATTATCGCGTTTTGTTATCTCAGACGAAGCACTAAGTATATGATTGTTGACGTTCCTGATGATTACAACGATCTCTCAACTCTAGTTGATTAGCTACCTGCTAAATTGACTCACCAATCCTATCAGCTACCCCGCTAATAGAGCTATTGTTTTACCAAACAACCTTTACCCAGAAATCCTCCAGACCTCTGTGCTGACTTTTCTTTCAAACCCAATTGCTCACTCGTTAGGAGCTTTCTGATTTGATCACTTTGAAAAGTCTGCCGATTCTCTGGCTTCCCGCTCTATATATACACTTGTCTTCTCCTCATAGCCGTTGGATTTTAAAAGTTTCATTTCCTTGCTTGTTCCTTGACTCTGCAACTTTCCATATGATTTGCAATCTGTTGAGGATGATTGCCTCGATCTTCCTCCAACTGGTGCTTAGTTGCGTAAACTTCCTTGACGGTAAGACTGATTTCTCCAGCTGGTGATTCTGTTGATTTTGCTGAGTTCAATTGCAATGCTGGTCCCAACAACCCTTACCCACAAAAACCCTATTTAGTCAATCTCAACAATAATAGAGAGATGTTGTCTCTTTCCAATATCACCAATGCCATCCAGACACCACCCAAAGTTTTCGAATGAAGATCTAGAGCACCAACTGGGAGAGCTCCCAATTACGAGCCCTCAAAAGCCAAGGCGAGTGACTTGCAAAACCCACAAGAGAAGAAGAAGACCTATAACCAACCATGATAAAATTAAAAAGAGACCAACAAGATCCAGGACGATGTGCCCTGTCTTCATGTCCAAAAAATACATTCATAGTGCTACTTGACGAGGAGGTTGTTGCATCTCCAGATCATCGAATCGCTAGGTTAAACAAGGATTTAGATGAAAGGTATACAAACAAGAAGATGAACTACATAATGAATCCCAAAGCCCTTTTTCTCGTTGAACGAAATCCTTCAAAAGTTTTAAGAACCTAGACCATAAAAGAAGTTGGAGTTAGAAGCCACCAATTCTGATTAGAAAGAAGCTAGAAGAAGCAAACTGAAACAACCAAGCGGGGAAAACAAGGACAAAGGGAGACAAGCATAGAAATTAAAATGAAATTAAAAGGGAGGGTTTTTACCGATTGTCGAATTGACGCTGATAACAGCCCATGGAGGGGCTGAAGCAAGGTTGTCAACCCGCGGGTCGACCCGTACTTAAAGTCATTATATTGTACTTATTTTGAATCCAACATAAAAGACAACCGTACTTAAACTCCAACACACTTAAATAACATCAACTTAAATTCAACATAGTAAAAATTCAACGACACTTTGGAACGAGTAGCCTGCTGACCCGCTCGGACGGGCCAACCGCCCGGGTTATCCCTGATTTTCCCGTGTTTGACCATTTCCAAGCTAACTCTCAAATGGGCTATTTTAACCCATTTCCAAGACCGGGTCCGGGCCAACCCGAGTCAACCCACGGATTGACAACCTTGGGCTGAAGAGATTTGAATGGAGGTTTGAAAGTTAGAGAGAAAAGGAAAACATTTTGTTTCTTTAGCTACATGGTGTGTGAATATTTTGTTTCTTTAGTTTACCGAATTTGCATTATATACTTAGCTACATGGGGGCTCTATGTCCCCAGCAGAACAAACGAAAACTCTAGTAGGTACCTCTCCCTGGCTGTTCCGAACTTTCTTTGAGAGCCTAACAGAGAATCCCCAAGCCCTTGCATAATCATTGTAGAAGTTGTAAGCTTCTTCGAAGTCATTAAATATCTGGCCGATTTTAGGAGGATCTAAAATCGCATCTTCCATCCCAGTCGTTTCTCCATTCGGAATGCCATTGTCGGTTTCTCCTGTTTCCTCTAAACTCTCAAGGTCATCTTCGATGGCATTATTACAAGGATGTTCTTCTTCTTCCATCGATGCAATGGCTGCAAACTTCTTTGGTTTAGGGTCTCAACAGAGTGGGATACTGACGATAGGCGGTTTATTAGGGTTGGAGGCGGCAGAGTGGGATACTGACGATAGGTGGTTTGGTAGGGTTGGGATCCCAGTCGTACAAGAATTATGCCCAACCTGCTGCTGGAAACATATTTTTACCCCTCTGTCGTTTTGTCTTTGTTAAGAATGATTATTTTAGTACTTAAATTTAGGTTAGTTAAATTATTATTTTAATACTTTTGATAGCTTAACCTTCCACTTTAATTAATGATAAAAGATTTACCCTTATAGCTTTAATAGAATTTTCTAAGTTGACTTAATAAGGTAGATAAATATTACACTAACTTTAATTAATGATAAAAGATTTACCCTTATAGCTTTAATAGAATTTTCTAAGTTGACTTAATAAGGTAGATAAACATTATACTTACCATAAAGAGAACAACACACTACCTCCCCTATATTAAGACATGTGAAACCCCTATATGCTTTCAGGAATACCCATCTCTGTGATGGCAGGATTAGAAAAGCACAGTTACACACCGTTCTGTGAAGCTGGAACATAAGAGACCATGGGAAAACCAAGGTCAATTATGTACACGAGGAAGAAGGGCACCATCATAAAGTCTCTTTTTCTTCAAAATTCCTCTTCTATTCATTATGATTTCTTTTTTTTATCTTAATAACAAAAACAAGATGCAGAACATTATGGACAACTGGATAATGACAAGATCAACGGCGCGGTCATCCGATTTAATGGTTTGTCAGTTTACATGTTTTCCACATCTCCATCATTGGCAGTTTATTTTTCTTTAAGAACTAAAGAACGACGTTTGTTTTTATTACTATGAATGTAGGATCCAGAGAAGGATGTATCTCAGGTAAAGAAAGCTAGAACTGAAGTCGGTGTGATCCCTCCATCGACGCCGTGATCAAATATGATGGTTCTTGATGGTGAATCGAAGGGAGATGGTAATGCATTTGTCTGGAAAAGCCGTCCCAGATTTTCTTCCCTACAATTCACCGAAAAGGTATTTTTATCCACCCCACTAATATTTTTCTACCTTAAAACAAAATCAATGGTTATATTTTTATCGAACCCACTAATATTCTTTCGTGTTCCATTGCAGGCAGAAACTAAGTTTAGGCTGCCTCACGTTGTCAACTACAGTGAGGAGGTAAGGCGTTATGGTCCCTCTGCCCGAACTCTAATGTTGAAGTTGATGTAAGTTTTAATACGAATTATTGCCAATTTTTTTTAGTAAGGCAATAGATAAGGAACCAAGTTTACATGTGCCTTTCTTTGTGCTTGTATCTGATGTGTTCCACCTGGCTTCTGTTTGTTCATCTTTTTCCACCTCACTTCCTTAACTCTTTTCCGTGTTCCTAAGTTACTAATAATGAGCCGAAAAGATAAGGAACCAAGTTTAAATGTGCCTTTCTTTGTGCTTGTATCTGCTATGTTCCACCTGGCTTCTGTATCTTCTTCTTCTTCCACCTGGCTTCTACTTCTTTGTCTCTTTCCACCCAGCTTCCTTAACTCCCCTCGTGTTCCCAAGTTACTAGTAATGAGAAAAAAAGACAAGGAACCAACTGTATTTGTGTCTTTCTTTGTACTTGTATCTACTGTAGGATGGTGTTTGCCTCTTTCAATTTTAATATGTTCATTTTGAATAGAGTTAGTAACAGATTGCACCTTACCTCTCTACTCACCGTTCAACTCGTATAATATCAATCTCCTAAAATGGTCGTGGAAGAAGAGTATGTTTTCTGCCTACTAAACTGCAGGTACATATCGATTTACCTTGTGCATTTATTTTAGGTGAAATATACTGTTTGCTCTATGGTATATAATGAACGTTTAATTCTGCTAATTTAATCAAATCATGATTAAGAAATGGTACTTAACTATGGCATGACACCGAAAAAAGCTTTAGAGTGTTACGGTACAAAGTTTCTCACAAAAGCTCACACCTGCATAAAGGTTTTCTTCTCAATACTTTCTTCTACATTTCACTGTTGCCTTCCTCATTAATTGTTTCCAGCTATTGTTTGAAGGTATATGTGAATATTCATTTTTTCCCATCAAGCTATTTAGTCTTTTTAGTTGTAATGTAGTTGTGTCTGCCAATGAATGATATGATGCATGGTGATAACATTCATTGGTATTTAGTTGTCATCTTGATGGATGACAAGCAAGTCCATATCTTGGATTCATATCCTTTTGTTCTCTTCTATTTGTAATAAAGTTACTCTATGTAGATTGGATTTCTCGATGCCTTGTTCGAGGATCTTTATTTACAAGTGGAACAAATGTGCGATCCCCCAGTGATGAAGGAGTTCTCTTTGACAATTCCTTCAGTTTCTGAACAACGTCACGAGTAAGAATCATTCTGACACGTCTCGCCTCTTTTCAAAAATCAAACCATAACTCAAACCAAAAACCGGTTACTCCGGAGCAACCCAACCACATTTTAAAATAAACAAACTGACATCTTTTAAGAAATTTTAACGAAAAGCCCCAACACTTGGGAAAAATTCTCAATCTCAAACACTTAAAATGACTTAACACAGATATCCCGTCGACGCTGGTACTGCTGCTCGCTCCGCTCTGCTTCTTCTCGTGACTCACTTCTGCTAGACTATCCTCAACCTGGTGAGTGAGAAGGGGTCAGTCTCGTCGTTACTTCCTAAGGTCTTTGTCCTAGGCAAACTCCTTACTAAACACATTATTAGGGGAAAGCCTTCCTTAGACGAAAGTCGTTCTCACATTCATCATTTAATCTTTACTATCAAACAGTCTATAAGAGATCTCTACTCTGATCTTATCCTTAGAATTCCATTACTTACATTCTGAATCCAAAGACACCAACACAAGGGACCACCGCGTTACGTCTCGCTGTCCGGTGTCCCTACCCTAGTATGCCAACCGCGTTACGTCTCGCCACAACAACACAAACATTCATACATAGCACAACGCGTGCCTCCACCCTTACAGGCGGTGGGATGCCTCACACTCATAACGCGCATTACTCAAAATTAACTCATAATAACTTGAACGAAAAGCGAAAACTAAAAGACCTACGACAGAGATTTTACCCCCTTTACACTCACATCTTTTGTCGCATCAACGTCTGCATTCTCATGCTCAAGCCCCGCGCATTTTTCCTCTTTCGGCTCCTCCTCTATCGGTTCATCGTCTTCCTCTTCGACGACCCTAACCATTGGGGCTCCGGCGTCATTCTCTTCAAGGTCCCTCCTCGGGCAACAATTCAACGACCAACTTCGAACTGCCGACACCCCGGGTCGTCTAGGAGGATAGGGTTGGGGCCTCTCCATCACTTTACCACAGCCAGTTGCGATCACCGATGTCGAGTTCTCGGCCTTCCTTCCGCCTCTAATAGACGCGGCTCTTCCTCTCCTACTAATCGGTGTGAACCTCTTCCTCACGCGAGGCTACGAAGTTCGATCGGCTGCTAACTTTCTCGCCTTCTTTCCCTCCTTAGACGGATTATCCCAGGACACCTATTAATAAAAAGTTCATACTCTAAGACAACCTTTCTCGATTTAAAAGCCTCCTTTAGGTCCCTTAACCCCCTTTAAAATTTTTCTAGAAATACTCCCTTTAAAACCGACAATTTTTCCTAATTATTTTAGTCGGTTTTGAAGGGAGTATTTCTAGAAAAATTTTAAAGGGGGTTAAGGGACCTTTGGAGTGAGGTTTGAGGATGGGACTTTGAGTAGAGGGTGTCTGGGTTGGTAAAAAGGAGGCTTTTAAATCGAGAAAGGTTGTCTTAGAGTATGAACTTTTTATTAATAGGTGTCCAGGGATAATCTGGCTAAGGAGGGAAATAAGGAGAGAAAGTTAGCAGCCGATCGAACTTCATAGCCTCGCGTGATGAAGAGGTTCACACCGATTAGTAGGAGGGGAAGAGCTGCGTCTATTAGAGGCAGAAGGAAGGCCGAGAACTCGACATCGGTGATCGCAACTGGCGGGGGTAAAGTGATGTAGAGGCCCCGACCCTATCCTCCTAGACGACCCGGGGTGTCGGCAGTTCGACGTTGGCCGCTGAATTGTGGCCCAAGGAGGGACCTTGAAGAGAATGGCGACGGAGCCCCAATGGTTAGGGTCGTCGAAGAGGAACACGATGAACCGATAGAGGAGCCAAAAGAGGAAGAACGTGCGGGGCTTGAGCGTGAGAATGAAGATGTTTATGCGACTAAAGAGATGAGTGTAAAGGGGGTAAAATCTCTGTCATAGGTCTTTTAGTTTCCGCTTTTCGTTCAAGTTATTATGAGTTAATTTTGAGTAATGCGCGTTATGAGTGTGAGGCATCCCACCGCCTGTAAGGGTGGAGGCACGCGTTGTGCTATGTATGAATGTTTGTGTTGTTGTATGGATTGATGGTATGAGGAACCTCCGGGAGGTTGGGCCACTACTGGATGCGGTAGATAGTCGGGTCACTGCTGGACGGCGAGACGTAACGCAACAGTTGATCGAGTATATTGGGATCACTACTGGACGGCGAGACGTAACGCTGTAGTTGACGGGCATGGACTGGACGGGGAGACGTAACGCAGTGCCATTGCCGAGTTTGGGTATGCAATCGGACGGCGAGACGTAACGCGGTTGGCATACTAGGGTAGGGACACCGGAGAGCGAGACGTAACGCGGTGGTCCCTTGTGTTGGTGTCTTTGGATTCAGAATGTAAGTAAGGAAATTCTAAGGATAAGATCAGAGTAGAGATCTCTTATAGACTGTTTGATAGTAAAGTTTAAAGGATGAAAGTGAGAACGACTTTCGTATAAGGAAGGCTTTCCCCTAATAATGTGTTTAGTAAGGAGTTTTCCTAGGGCAAAAGCCTTAAGAAGTAACGACGAGACTGACCCCTTCTCACTCACCATGTTATAGTCTAGCAGAAGTGAGTCACGAGAAGAAGCAGGGCGAGGCGAGCAGTAGTACCAGGGTCGACGGGAT